GCTCGACCAAAACCTGCCCCAAGAAAACACGAGGTTAACCCTAGTTAGCGCCATTCGTTGGACAGGACAATGATTTACAGACAAATCGCCAGAGCGACGACGCTTCGTGCCAGCAACGACGGTCTGTTGGCTACAGGTCAAAGAGCGTCCGAACATGGCGCATCGTGGCCTTGAACTCGACGAGCTGCTGCTCGTAGCGGAGACGCCCATGCATGCCGAGCGCCTCTCGCTCGGCTGGCGTCATGGCAAGCACCTTCTCGACCGCGTTGCAGATCGCGTCGGAGGTCACGTTCCACTCCATGCCGCCATAGATGCTCAAGAGCTGGTTCCTACGCATACCGGTTCGAACTTGGTGCATCATGGCAGAGTCGTACGGGTTGGGGGGCATCACGCTTGCCTGTAGTGGTTCATAAAGAGCAGTGCCGTGTTGGGGCACAAGTCGAAGTAGTTGATGTTGGTGCGGCCTGTGCCACGTGCAAGGCATAATGTGAGATTGAGATTCAGGTTGGGACGGCGCGTCCTTACCTTCATAGTCGAATCGCAAGTCAAAGACCCAAATCGGCAGCGCGCGGGTTTTGAGAAACTTGACGTACGCCATGCCATCTTCGCAGTAGCCGTGGTCGCGCAAGCCCGCGGGGAGGAAGACGTCGACTTCCGGGCACTGCGCGAGGTGCGCAATGAGTTCGTCCCGCGGCGTGGCATCGCGCGTCCAGAGCTCCGTGTGGTTGACTTCGGAGCTGTTGAACGCCCAGTGCACAATGCTGTCGTTGGCGTGGAAGCAGGCTTCGTTGAGGTTGTTGAGATGGACAATGTCGCCAAAGAGATCGTCGCCTTGTGTCTCGTTGCGCACGGAGGCCATGCGCGTGTACAAGGCTTTGGGCCAGAGCACTTCGCCCTTGCTGCGCAAGAGCGGGCGCTGCGGCACGCCACTGAACGCGATCGTGTGCAGCGTAAAGGCGCACGCGGCAAACGCGGCCAGCGCAAGCTTGCGATGGCTTGGTCGTACGAGTGTCCACGCTACGGATCGTCCTTTCTAGTAGCAACAAGAGAGCGTGAGTTGTTCAACGTCCGCCCGATCGCACGCAACCATGCTGCTGCGTCTGTGGCGAATGATCAAGTGGCGACCAAGCCTCAGCCATGATGCTACAGTTGCCCACGGGTGCTGAAGATACAGCCGTCAGGCTTGGGACATGTCGGACACACTGGAGGGGGCGCTGTCAAACGTACATGGTGACGTACTACCGCCCTGCGCTGGGACTCAAGGTCAAGAAGATACAAGGCGTTGCTAGGAAGGGCGTAGTCGTGTTACGTGACGATTCCGGAGCACGCGTGTTTGCTGAGCGTTGACAGTGTATTATGCGCTGGAAGGACTCTGTATGTGTGTTGAGCCCAAATACAGTGCATTTCAGTAGGGATTTCTGTGCGCTGGACAACCAAAGCGTGGACAAGCCGGCGCCTGTGGACGTTGAAACCATCACATTTTACTGTGCGGAGTGACGTGGCCACTCGAAATGCTGGTGACTTTGATGGTGCCATCTGTGGTCTCGAGTCGCGGTTTTAGCAGATGGTGATGGGTGATGTTAGCAGCTTTACGAAACCCTTGCCACAATTCCTTATCCCACATTATCACTCCCGCCGGCCCCATCCTACTAGTACCCTCCTACCCTCCACAGCGCACAATAACTCTGCCCATTTCGAATGATGCTATTGGACACGTTTGGGCATCGAACAAAATACAAAAATGGGCCAAAATTTCAGCCACAATCCAGCCAAGAAGCAACGACATCTGGTTGTGTTGCCAAGCACCCTGTAAAATAGTCAATGGCGCGAGACTACTGCAACTGCAAATTCCATCGCTGGTCCCATCCAGAGGTCGTCAACAGCCTGTGTTTTGGGAAAGAGGCGCTGCGTTGGAAATTGGAAATTGAAATGTGTGGAAATCGAATCAAGTCTGGAATCCTGTT